TGTTAAACCTACGCCAAACTTACTGGCTATTATAAGAAAACAAGTATAGCTGAGGCACTTGTCATTCTAATAATAACACTGATGATCTTCAAACATGACTCAACCTCTGATGGAAGCACCAAACTCTTACGAAGGTTTGAAATGGATTAACACTTCAATATAGCAGGCTACTATAATAATCTTCATGCAGACATTGTTCGCAGTGGTTCTGGCGTTGAATCTGGTCATTATTACACATTAGTCAAAGACAAAACGGACTGACTGGTTTATGTTTTACGATAGTCGTGTCACCAAGTGTTCTGGTGATGTCCTGAATTTATTGGAGCGTCCCAATTAGTCACAAGCTCTACCTGCAGTTGATTCAGTAGGATGTACCACTGCGCCACCTGCAGACAAAGTCCGGAAGCACCTTATTTTCAGGAAAATAACTGTGGACCAGTCTGTGGACTAGGAAAGTAACAGGAAAGTTTTTGAGGTTCGTACACATCTCGAGAATTCAATATTCTAATTCGCATGCCTATTTAGAATCTCCCGACACGAAAATACGTTGAATGTATTTCAAAAATTTCTTCGAATTAGTTATATTTTGAAGGTCGACATTGATATCACAATAGTTTCAGTTATCATTGATCATTATGTTGTCCATTCAATTTCTTTCTTGATAATATTATTTCTTATCATGCTTCTCCCTTTTATCACATGTATGAATGAACTCTAGTTTTTCGCAATGAATGCGAGATGAGAAAGATTTAACCCAATTTCACTGTGCACCACTCTCTCCTACTGGTTGAAAACCTGCGTCATCACAAAGTCGAACATGAGTAATAGTTCACTCAATTACGCAAACATTTTTCAGTATTTCGATAAATAATAAGTATAGTAAAGTCAATTTATACAGAAAACGCAAACTACCTGTTTGTAATCTAGTGAAATTTGGGTCAGTGCCATTCAGTTGTTTTTGTGAAAAAAATATAAAATTTGGTACGAACGTATACTTTATTGAAGCTATTTTTTTCTAACAAAAAAAAACAAATGAAAATATGTCACGGTTTGACCCGAAAAAGAATCAAATCAAGAAATTTAAATAGTAATCTGTATATTTCAACACGCCATTTGATGTAATATGAAACTCGTTTCAGAACGATTTTTTAGGTTGTTTCAGAAGTTTTGTCCGTTTTGATGACATATGTTTTTGTAGTCCATATCTCAATCAATATTTTTATACACTGATATACAGAGAATTTTGTATTCTATACATTGGTACTATTCATTTTTTCTATTTGTTTGAAGGTGATTGACAATGTTTCATGATGAATTTCATTAGTTCGGACTTCCATTGTCTAATAATACAAAATGATTTGGAATTCCTAAAAGAACCGATACAAATTAAAAATTGAAAAGTAGAGCTGAAAGTAACAATTATATTAAGCAAAAAAANGAGCCAATAGTTTAAACAATCTACAGAAAGTGTCACGTTTCGAGACCTGTTTTTTTCGTCACGTGATGGAAAGTGGATCCCGTACGACAATAGATGTTCCAGACGGTGGTTGGATACTCATGGGCCACCTCACCAAAAAAGACCATGGTTACTGTATGGTTATCAGCGGCTGATGTGATTCAGTATAACTTTCTGCAACTGGGTCAAACCATCACAGTAGAGTCATATTGTGGAGAAATCGATGAATTGTACCGAAAATTGCGTCAGCAGCAGCCGGTACCGGTACAGAAGAGGTCCTATCCTGCTCCACGACAAACGTGCTTAGACCTCTCGCCAAACAACTACCACCTGTTCAAGGACTTCGATAACTTTCTCACCGGTAGAACCTTCACCAATCAGGACCACGCAAAAACGGCACCCGATTTTTATGATGACGAAATTATTCGACTTGTGTTACATTGGCAAAAGTGCACTGATTCAAATAGTGCTTATTTTGGTTTAATTGGATGATTCACCGATATATTACCTACAGTTCAAATTATAACCATAAAAACGGAAACAATCTAATATCGGTAGCTCCCGAAAAATATTTGTGCGATCTGAAAATTCAGAATCTCACTATAGGATATGCTTGGGAAGAGCCTTATTTTCTTGAAGAAAATTGTTATTATACTGAGTCAATTTGGAAATGTTTACCCCTCTCTCCCCATCATGTTAATTGATATGCGGAGATAAACTATTTTGTTCACCGCCAATTTCCCTCAACATCGATAAGTCTCAGTTCACCACGTGTCACTGATATGAACCGACCAGAGTTATACTCGAAAAACAACACCGTACAGGAAAGGGAAAACAACTATTTCCTCGACAGATATCTGAGTTCGGAAACATGGAAGGATGGCGAATCTATTTTGGAAATAGGAATGGGGGACGGAAAGTACACTGTAGAAACGTTCCGGTTTCGATTGCCGAAGAATTTGAAGAGGTATGTTGGAACTGACGTTTCGGAAGAAATGGTCCAGTTCGCAAAGAAGAAATACGGAATGGTGAATGATTTCAATATCGAGTTCAGAACCTTGGACGCGGAAGGTGACTCAATACCAGACGAGTTCATCAATCATTTCGATCATGTGGTATCTTTTTTGTGCTTCCATTGGATTGTCAAACCCAGGTGAGTATGGTTTTGAATAGTTGATATATTCTCATTTGTGCGAATGAATTCACGAATAACTTCACGGAGAAAACATTATTTGTTGAAAATTGTTCAGATTTCTCGAATGGAATGTATTTCAGAAGGGATGGCATAAATATTTCATTTTCTGTAAATGTAACGAGTTTCTCGATATAGAATATTTGTAGCTAATGAAAATAATCCAGTTGTTTGTACTAAACGAACATTTTCGGTTTGTAGCCAATGCATTTTTTATGACAAACAAACAAAGTATAGTTTTCTGGATATACAGTGCATTTTTTTAATGCATGAATACTTTATTTTGAAGTTAAATTGACAGATGAAATTTTCAAGATGGCGACTGGGCATCATCTGGGAAAAAAATTGAATGGAAAGGGGAGGTTTGTGACACATCTTTTTGAAGCTCATGAAGTGCATACTCAACGTCCACAAAAATTAAATGTATGGGCTGGAATTTTTGGTGGCCGTATTGTTTGTTGTCCCATTGTTTCAAGAAGGCAATTCAACCTGAGAAATGTATGTGGAACTTCTGGAAGATATTATTAATCCCCTTCTCCCTGATATTTCTGAAAATGACCACAATTATCGGGAGGATCTGTTAATATTTCAACAAGATGGGGCTCCTCCGCACTGTGCTCTGCCTGTTCGGCAGTATTTAGATCAGACTTTTCCGGATCACTGGATTGGGAGGCGGGGCACTATTGAATGGCCACCACGATCACCAGACCTTTCGTCGTTAGATTTCTTTCTGTGGGGTCATTTGAAAAACAGAATTTACTGTATTCTTCCTGCATCACTCGAAGATTTACGGCAACGAATCACAAATGAATGTTGCCAAATCACTCCAGAAATGCTCCACAATTTTCGAAAACGTTTCAAGCAGAATCTCTATTATTACATGGAAGCTGGAAGTGCCCAATTTGAGCAAATAATTTTAACATGAGAATAACGTAAGTAATTTCAACTGTAAATTTATTATGGTTCGTATAAATTAAAAAAAAATGTACACCGTTGTTTGGAGAATTCTAAGATCTTTCAAATGATGTGCGACTCCCCCTAGTTCCCTATTAAAATTCCAAGGGTTGTTCACCCCTCTATTTCGGGGATGAAGTGACGACGCTGTAAGTGGGGAAAAACTACCCCCTCCCAATTAAAAGTGACCTGTCTGAGCCTTTTTTCATATTGCAAGATTAGTACCCAAAACCTCCATGTCAAGTTTTCGATGGCCCACCCTGTATAGCTAACCTTATTTTCCGCAATGTAATGGTCATTACCTTTATGTATATCCGTGTCGTTTCGTCAAGATCACACTTGCCATATTCATGTGTTCTACTTTGCATCTGGACCTAAAACTTCAGTTTGAATTTCTCGTGATACATAATACATTTGATTGAACTTCTGGTGGTGTTTGCAGGCGGGCAGCAGAGAACATATTCAACATGTTGAAACCAGGAGGAAAACTTGCGGTTTTTTTTCTGGAAAAGAATACTGCAGGTGACGTTTTCTTCAATATGTCCCAACATCCCAAATGGGGGAGTTACGGCTATGAAAAATACATTTCGGACTTCTTGTGGAGTGATGATCCGCAGACAGAGTGGGAAAATGCTTTCGTGGAGGTTGGATTTGTGAACATTAGGAAGTTTTCCGAAAATCGAACAACTTTATTTCCAGATGAGATGCATTTCAATGGTGAGTTTTCAAAAATTGAATTTTGACCTATTAGCAGGGGAGCCCACGATGCAAAATGGGGATTTACTCGAGCGTCATATTAGGTTGCAAAGCTTAGATGATAAGAAAAAATGTTATATAATATATACCTTTTCATCGGTGGGGGAAGCGGCTATAGATCTTCAAATATGTAAAAAATTGCATGGACATACTCGAGCGCGTCAGATATAGATAGCATCAATGTCCTACGTATTTTTAATAATGTCGGTATGTTAATCTGATCATTTGCATGATGTGGGTGGTTGTACGTAAATATTAAAAGTGCAACAAAAAAAATCTCTCATTCAATAATCTAACGATTTCGATCTGACGCAAACTCGTGATCATTATTATAATGTGGAAAAAAATTCGTCATTTTGAAATACTCAAGCGCGTCAGATTAAGATATATATGGTTCATCTTTATGATTTAGACGTGCTGTCTCATAATCTGACGATTATCTAAACATTATAATAATGGCCGCGAGTTTGCGTCAGATCGAGATCGTCAGATTATTGAATGGGAGCTTTTTTTGTTGCACTTAACACCCCCTTAGAATATCTGACGCACTCTATTCAATTTTTTTCTTTTCACTTTTAACCCTTATGTACAACTACCCACATCATGCAAAAGATCAGATCAACATACCAACATTATCAAAAACTAGTTGTTGCCTGCGTAGAATTTGGTAGTTGTAGTACTGATTAGTACTATGTTGCTGTATCGCTTCTGTTCCAATGTTATGACAGAATCAGAATCAACGAACTTAGGCGTGAGCAGCGTTATAGAACAGTGCTTTCAACAAATAGTTCTACAGCGCCATCTAGTGGCGAGTTACAGAAAAATTGATAGCCTAAAAATAGATACGTAGGACATTGATGCTATCAATATCCGACGCGCTCGAGTATGTTCATGCAACAGTATTTTTTTACATATTTAAAGATCTATAGCCGCTTACCTCACCGGTAAAAAGGTATATAATATATAACATTTTTTTCTTCTTATCATCTAAGCTTTGCAACCTAATGTCCCAATGACGCTCGAGTAAATCCCCATTTTGCATCGTGAGCTCCCCTGCTATTAGAAATATCAATCGCAACAGCTCTTGATTCTCCATGTCGCCTGTTTCCGAAAGCCATATTGATGATCGCCCAAGATGTTGAAGCCTTCCAAATATTTGAGGATATGGTGACTTACTACTTTCTCCATGATTTTTGATATCATTGATAGCAAAGCGACTGGTTTATAGTTATTTGGAAGATATTTCTTGCTATTTTTGGGAATAGGCTGAACGTCAGAAATCTTCCAACAAGAAGGAAAAACTCCTTTCTTGTAAAACCGGTTGGAAAGTCTGCAAAATACTAGTGCGAGTTCATTTGAGCATATCTCACACAGTTTGCATTATTTAAAAGAAGAAGCGTTGACACGTTTGGTACCTAGGAGGACATATTTCTGAATTTTGTATATTTTTGAACATTTATTGAAAACTCTTTGTAACTCACGATGTTTCAGTTGTTGCATCAGTTTATTGTCTACAGGACTGAACGTAATAACAGTTTTGTTTTTCAGGATTCAACATGGCTTTGGATCCAGTATTTTCTAAGATTCCAGAAGAGGACAAGGACTCATATTTGAAAGATTATTTAGAAGAAGCGCGCAAGGGAAAACTCAATTTCGTTAGATTTAATCCCGATACGAAAAAAAAGGAATTTGGGATGAATTATAAGCTTCTATATTTCGTAGCTGCAAAACCAGCATTTTCAATGAGTTGATTCAAAATTCAGTTAGTTACGAAGTAAACTGATCGTGGTTGAATTGATATAAGACATTCACACAACTGGGACTTCAGAATGTCTCTCAACGCAATGAATAGAGTTTTGAACTTTCTGAAATTTTACTTTCATTGTGAGATGTAAACAAAGAAAATGCACTTGTGTAAACGATTTGAATACAGTGGTAGGTTGGGTTAGGTCCTCCATCGCAACCCGAGAGGGTTTATTGTGGCTCACACCTATTCACATTCGACCAATTAAACCCAGCTTCTTAACGAAGCGGATTAGTTTGTATGAGTGGTCTTTCAGGTCAGATGATGAGACTACGGCTCTGCCGAACTCTAAACACCTGATTCGGTCCCCAGCGGGGCAGGCACAATGTATATGCTCTGCTGTTATTGAGGTAGTCGGTTAGTCAAGGTGCAAGATTCCCACCTTGATATCCGCGACAACTTTCTCATATGAGGGTTTTTGCACGTCAGCTTCACCTGACGATGCGTTAGATTCAGCCGTACAGGGCTTTTTAGCCTCTGGTTTTGGTGAATCATCACTTGTTTCTTTTTTCGCATTATTAGGTACCAAACCTGTTGAAAAATATAGATTCACCAAATTATTATCTGATTTAACTTTCTTAACAATTTTGGTGATAATTCTGTCGAATCCTGTAATGAATCGAAATAAGCCTGGAAACTGTACATACGCATAAGAAAATAATATAATTATTTCGAAATGACATTTTATCACAATGTATATCAGTAGCTACATGGTGATTCGTTTTATAATTTGAATTCGAGAAATTCACTATTTGCAAGTTGATATTTGCACTGACGTGAATCACTTCCCAAAGGTGCTCATCATAGCTGAGTCATATTGTGAGGAACTTTGTCAATGGTAGAATCTTCGTCAGTTAGGACCAGGCAAAAACGGCCTTCATCGACTTCATCATGGCAAGAGTATACTGATTCAAATGACGCTCATTTCAGTTGAATTGAATAAGTTTTCAATGGACCTCAATCAGGTGATATTGAGGGCCACTCACTGCTCATAAAAATACTTTTCAATAAGAAAGTACCCATTCTTATTGAAAAGTCAGCTTATTCTCATTGTAGTGAAGGACAAAATAAAAACAATTTGTTCAATCCAAGTATATTACACACTATAACTACAAAATGATCGCAAAAATTTCCATTCGTTCTTGAAATTTGTCTTGTATTTCATGAACTGGTTACAAATACATAAAATGCAAAAATGACTCCACCCGATTTTCCTTGACAATGACTTCATGATTACACATCATCTTGAACTTTATTTTCAAAGCAGACATAGTTGTGAACGGAATTTATTAATTCTCAATAAAATCAAAGCAGGCCATTTTTGCTAGTAATCACTACTAAGAATGTAAAATTAATTTACACTATGAAATAAACTATATTCGTCAATAAACAATAAACGTGAGTGACGCATATGTATATAGGCTCAACACAATACTGTCTTTTACAAATCACAAAATAACAACAATAAGATTATGCGCTGGTCAAAACATCGAACATTACGGGTTTTCTTGGACCAGAAGCGGTGAAATTTAAAACACTACATCTCTCAAAAAATGAAATGTTTCAATAACAAACCAGTGTTTTCATACATATCATGCGACTATTTACTACGGTTAAGAAAATATTTTGAATTCTTCAAGATTTGTCAAATTTTTGTTTTCCACTATATCTGCAGCTACCCTAACTTCAAAATAAAAGCTCTAAGCTGAATCGAAATTTATCATTTTCCATTTAAAAATTTACAAAAGATTACTTACAATGTTAAGCTCATATGGATTGTATGAATTTTAGAATATTCTTTAATTTTGCTAGCTAAAAGATATGCATGTTAAATGCGTTTCGAAAAAGTTTATACGTCGCTTGTGAGTTCGCTTCAGATATTTCATAACTTGTTCCACAAATCCGATATCAATATTATTGATTCAGCTTGTGGAATCTCAGTGGGTAAGGAAAAAAACAAAATATGTTGCAATAGCTCTATCAACGCTTGAGGAACAGATTTTTGACTCATGAGACATTGTTATTCATTTGATCTTTCCAAATATTCTGGATGTGTTGAATTTCTTTGAAAGAGAAATAAAATATTGCTCTTAGCAATTACTGATAATGACAACATGAAATACATATTTCGACAGAAATATTTCTACAAGGTTCCCTCTACCTCAGGACTTGATTCAATCGATGGGACGTGTTCACACAGCTTATATTAATGAATGATATCCTTTTGATATTTTTTTAACTTTTTCTAACTGTACTTTCAGATGAATATAAATTATCGACCGTTGATTTTCTGTATCACTTTGGAATGTCTGAAGCCTTTGACTAGCTGAAACAAGTATAGAATGTCTCGAACAACTCATAAAAATCCTAATGAATGAGAAAGTATACACACATTTATAAGAGGATGTTTTTATGGAAGTGAAGCATGGTACAAATTATGACTCAGTTGTCTCAACTAAGACATGAAATAAAAGTATGTAGTCCGAAGCACAAACTACGCTAGCCGTTTTATTATTCAGAAAAGACACAACAACAATTCATTATTATGCATTCATCGACTCGTGCCAGAAAAATAATTGCTGCGTGTCAAAGCAATTTGGTGTCAGGTGTGGGGTAGGTTGTGAAAATTTGTATCGACATTGAGTTTCAACACATCACATATTTGTTTTTCTTTTTTTCTAATATAAAGTTAGATTTTCAATTATGCTAATGTATTTGGTAAGGAAAATTGATTCCTTTGATGGGAGTAAGTACACAGTCGTCTCATGTCAAAAACTGTTTCCTGTCGAGCTACTTTGGTTTCTAATGGAGCGTTTTTTTGTGGAAATCGAATATTGTAAACGAATATTTTCCTTTGACAAGAAATAATCAAACGGAAAACTGAAGATTAAAATAAATGCTCAGTAAAAACCCTTTTTGATTTTGAAAAATACATTGTTTCGGGTTTATTGTGAATATTTTGATTACAATCTGTATAGAGTACTTCAAATTCTCCGTTTTAGATAATTTATCTATATAAATTCTCCTTAGTATGAAACAGAATAGTGTGGAAATTGGTTTTGTCAACTGAAGAATGTCGTTAGATGTTTGGAGATTTACATAGTACAGTTCTTGCCAGCAAACAATGTTTTTGATTATCTTAAACTTATTTTTTATCGTAGAGTACTTAGGTCCCTATAATTGTCTTTAAAGTCACACTGGCATGTCTGCACGAGTTTTATCGATAATTATCTTTCAATAATGTAGCATCGTTGATTTTGTTTGATTATTATTGAAGAACATGAAAAAAAAACGTTACATTCGAAAAATCTGAGGTGCATTATACCAGTGGGATCTATTTTATGAACCCAGTTGCAATGAAGTGTATTTTTACTTTTTTTTTCATTTTCATACAAGTCACTAGATATTTACATTACGCATGATACAGGGGAACCCCGAAGACCAATAGAATGAGACAATGACGAAAATCTTCACCGATCATAATTCGTGCTTCCATATGCCCTGTATATGCGTTTTTTACAACATTCCAAGTTAGCACTGACTAAACTTATATCAAGTAAAACACTCCAAATAATAAACCACCCATGAGGAATGAAAATGAACATTCAAGACGAAGTTAGCATAAAAATATCACAAACAATTACAAAATGTCTTTTTTCCATCAATGAAATGTAGGCTGGAAGATGAAGGAACATGATTGTTCGTTCTACATGGAACCAATTATTCCAATATTACATTTTCTGAACTTTTCCGTCTCGACGATTAGAAATATGCCTAACGAAAGATTAAACTTGGAGACAGGACTTCATAGTTTTGTTGTTGGATATTCAGGGTGAGCTGTTTCTACTCCCTCATTCGTTTATTTGATGTACATCGAATCCATATGTGTACAGGACGAAATTCAGAAGCCTCATTTATAAGTTTTTAGATATCGCTTAGATATATAATTGCTTCATTAGATACTTTATCAGGACGATGATCAGATTAAACACATCAATCTGTTCCTTAGTTGATTGCAGTTATCAGCTAACCTGTTCCTGTTGCTAGGAACATTATTTTGGTAAGTTCTATGTTGGCATTACTGATATGCACATTGACAACGTCTCCACCATACCTGTCAAAAAGATATGCTGAAACAGATGTCCAAACTGTGTTGGACTGTTCCAATGTCAGGTAAATTGATATTTTTTTTCTCTCTCACAGAGTATTTGAGAACTAGCGAATGAATCAGTCAAACTTCCTTCATCTTTGTCGATTATCTACACAGTATTAAATCATTTACCTACAAGAATACTGAAACTATCAAGGGAATATATTTACTTAAGAATTATTTTACAAACCAAACAATCCCAGTCAGTGACTAACCGATACTATTCATAGGTATGCTGCCGATGAATGAATCTGAAAGATATGCCATTTGCTTATAATTTCGTTTCGGATACATTCAAGTTGAATAACATGTCAAAAGAATGACAATGTATTTAATTAAACAATGAAATGGAAACCACCAGTAGTTTTCTTCATCAGAAAGTATAATTTAAACTGAATCAAACAGTAATGATTTTTGGATGTAGGTATATGAAACATTTTTCCAAATTTTAATAGAAATAGTAGCAACACTGCGTTTGTAATTGATATTTATTTCAGTGCCTTGTTTTTTGTTATGTCAGTGCCTTGTTTTTTGTTATTTCAGTGCCTTGTTTTTTGTTATTTCAGAAAGATATTTCTCGTGTCACAGTTGACTATTGCTCTGAATGATTTTTTCAAGTGTCACTGAATTCAACTCAATTTTCAGGAAGTTTTCCAAGAGAAAAGGATATACAAATAAAAAAAAAACCAGTAGCACCTACGGCCTGATAACTTCGACAATTGCGAAACTAGCCAAATCTTACACCCATGCTCAATCCATGTACAATGGGTCACATGTGGCCTAAGTACTGTGGGCTTACAATCACTTTTCCTACCCAACAGACAGACAGAATAATAAAATTTAGCATATTTTGGTATTGTGTCTTAATGAGACACTGAGAAAATTAATGTTGTCAATATTCTTCTAGTGAAATACAAATTATGGGTCCTAATGATCTAAAATTGCGGAAAATGCAATACTGTCACATTATGTCAAATTAAAAAAAAACAGCAATGTTGCCAATCTATTCGAATATAAATTGTTGAATATCAGTGTGAATACTTAATCAAATTGATTTTTGGTTGTAGGTATGTAGTCATCAAAATCAATTTATCATCAAAATACTGCAATCGAGCAATTGCAAGAGATTGTTTGATACAGATTGTTATGTTATGGCTCCCCTTTCACATTTCGAAATAATGCGGTTAGGCCAGTAATGCAGTGATGCCAATTTGCGTGTAATTACATGAAATGCGTGTAATTTTCACCCCTTGCGTGTAATATGCGTGTAATGGAATTTTGCGTGTAATTTCTGAAGTAGCTCATATTAGAGAGAAATGAGAAGAAGAATAATAAACCTGAAAATAGATGTAAAATGTCTTCATCAGAATTTTTAGTAGCGCCAAGTACATCTAGTATTAAGGTTGACGATACTATTGAGTCAGAAGTGAAAAATACGAAGAAAACTAGAAAATATAAATTTTGTGAGTGTTGGTTGCAAGAATCAAATTTGAAAAATTGGTTGACGAAGTCAAAAGATATGGGAAAACATAAAGAATGTCAGGCTTTTGCAAATTATGCCAAGTACATATTCTACCTCATAAGGCAACCTTGTTGAAACACAGACAATCTACAAAACATAAATCTCTAGAGAAACAAGTTTCCACCTCTTCAGATTTATCGAAGTTATTGAATAATCCATTGTCTGAAAAAACGAGACTAGCAGAAATCAAATTAGCAGGCCTTCTGGCAACTAATAATTTACCATTTTCATTAACAGATGTTTTGACTCCCCTACTTCAGGACATTTTTCCCGATAGCACATGAGATGGCAATGCATCGAACAAAAGCTACACAAGTACTGAAAGAGAGTCAAGGGTGCATTAGAGCTATTCCCAGTTCCGTCAGCCGTGTAATTAGCAGAATCAACTATATACATTCTCTTAACAGGTGGTTTCGAGGTCACGATATTTCAATCTGTGCTAATTTACCGTTAAAGACTTACGAAAAAAATTTTCTTGCCTCTACTTTTCAATGTCAAAGAGGGTGTCCAGAGAGGGTGTAATCATGAACATTTGCGTGCAAAAACGTGACCGATGTCTGTTGGCAACACTGCAGTAATGACGCATAAGTCTAGCAATATTCGAGGGCCCATTAGCGCATGAAGGTGGCAATGGAAAACTCCGGAAAAACAAAGAATTAGGTTACATGCTGAGATGAGTGAAATCGTCTCAGAAGAAGTGTTGTTATAAAAAACCATTTTTAAGTTTTCTTTGCCGTTTGAAAGTCATTTTCATTTCATAATATTCACTAGAGGTTATGTCGTGAACAGTACACGTGACAACTGACACTAGTAACAAATACACAGTGTAGCCAACTCAAAAAATACATTTTATTTATCATCATAACATGGCATAAATAAAGGGAAGGGGCAACTTACATGTATCGTTTCTTTGCTCAAAAGCGAATAAAATGTGAACAGCTGAATTCTAACCTAAAGTACAATACACATTTTTACGCCAAACCAAAATGCTTCCTTAGATGTTGTTGACGTCACCAGTCAGTTGTGTCGTTTTTCGCCATGACTAGTTGTTTGATATTTTGAAGTTGATTTATTCATCAGGCGAATATTTTTGGTAAAAGTGACAACAGTGTGCTGAATGAACATCAGACACCTGTCATTTGTTTAACTTCAATGCCAAACGATTTTGTTTTATGGATTTTCAATTGATTATGGGTTACTAATTGGTAGTTTGTCATTGATATGAAAGTTTTATTCAGTAAAAAAAATTGGAGAGTAATCAATCTGTTATGCTAAATTCTCTGCAAGTATTAGGATATTTGTTCTCATTTGTAACAGAGACAACAATCTTGTGAATTAAAATCGGATACAGTGTTGCCGCACCGATGGAAAACCCAGATAAATTCGCGCCACTAAGATTTTGATGACCCTTGAGGTCACATTTGGCGAAATGTCGACTCCACTGAAGTCACAAATTTTTTAGGTCAGTTTTCGTTTTTGAATTTTCATCGTGTCTATCACTATCTAGAATTGTCGTGTTAGGAAAATATTTTGTATAAGCGATAATCAAGTATGGAGAGTTATTTTCAGCCAATAAAAATACATGGGAGGGACCTATGATAAGGAGTTGTAAGAAAAGTGAATTTCGATGGATAAATTAACCTAAAATTTTGGTTTCACGATATCAAAAATCTCCTTCAGATGAAGATATTTTACACTTCAAGGTGCAACACCACTATGAAATCTCAAAACAAAGAAATTAATGTATTTTTTCATTAGGTATAGGAAGAAGTAATGCGTGAACAGAACAGGAATTATGAAAAATATATTCATTCAAGAAGTATACACAATTTATTATAGGAAGCCTGGAACAACACACTCTTACCCCCGCTCTTCGGTATTTCGGACTTCCATTGTCTAATATGATATAACCACCTTCAAACAAACTCTCACCCACTATTCCTGTGAATTTTGGAAGACTCTATTTGTCTAGGAACTCTAGTTCGTTTACTATTCATATAAAAACCTCAACTACTGTTCCAAGGGCCGGATTTTTGGAAGTCTGGATGCCCTGGAGTATTATGGATTATTTTCCAAACAGAAGCAATACTTTTTTTCTCCCAAGTCTTTTGAGAAATTTATTGTCAACAAAGAATGTAGCTAGTAGTTTGTTGAAGTCAAATATATTTTTTTTAAACTAAATTACCCTGTTAAGGAATGGAAATTCGCGAGTTTTTTCAACGGAAAGTCGTTGATGATTTAGCTGAAATCTAGCTTCCGAAGTGAATCACTTTCAATACTGAGTAATGTTAGCTTCGATAGATGGTTTTGTTCCATCGTTGCTCGTAGCCTATTTTATATAATTTTCATTGCTTGTAGAAGTTTTAAGGATGACCTGCAGGGTAAACCGTTCTCCCGATATTGTTTAATTTTATTTCTCTGTAACTCATGAGTAAAAGTTGACGGGTCAGCACCCGTTAAAATTTGAATATTTTTTTATCTTTATTGTGGGAGCTCCTCATATGTGCAGGCCTCGGGGCTATAGCCCAGCCTCCCCTCCCCTTAATCCGGCCCTGATTGTTTCAAATATTCACTTAACGGAATTCGATATTTCATCAAGAATGTTCAAATTGGCAAATCTGTCAGATTCATCTGAAGGCTCTTAAAATCTAATGAGAAGTAGTAGCAAGGGTCCGATCAAGCTGATATGAATTTTAACTAGATATATTTTCAAGAAGAAACCTGCAAATCAATTCACGACAGACAATCAAGGCACGATATTGTATTTCAGTACTTTTCCGATGGGAAATGAGCGGAGGATAGTAACAACAATGTTACTTATTTCCCCAGCGTTATTTTGATAAAAATTACTTCGTATAGAAAAATATTCAAATGACATCTTCTTCTTATCTCACACTTTTTCCAAATTTACTTTTGAAGTAGATTATTATAACTGTTGAAAAGCCTTAGGTGTCAGCACTGAAATACGTTTATAATTTTCTGAATGAGTTATTTTTGAAAACGAAAAGATGATTATATACTGATTTTGGACCCTGCCTGATCGGGCATACACATCTTTTTACAAGGACCTGATAATATGACGAATGAAAAATGTCAGATCATTAGGGTAGATTACAGAGCCTGTTTTGTAGTCATCACTCCGATACGTCGGGCTCCACCCAATCGACGGCGGCCCAATCGGGTAAGTCCGTGGAATACTCCCAACCTGGACCCTGAAAAATAAAATTCAAATCATCACACACGTTATCATACGTTAAAAGGTAAGACCTCATTAGTCCTTAACTCGCACAAGTTTCTCAACTTCTGAGAGTTGTCGTTCGTACGGGGGCGACAGCTGAATAATGGAAAAACAAATTTCAAACAGATTTTTAAACAGAATTTTCTACGAACGAAATCGTACTACGTCATTCAGGTTGTTTCAAAAGTTTTATCCATTTCAATGTCATGTGTTTTTGTAGCTCTATATCTCAATCAATAATTATTTTACTGTCTCGTGGTAAATATTGGTAGGTACTCTATACATTGATGCTGTAACTTTTTTCCAAATTTTAATTATTTGCCTCTATTCAGCTTATTACTATTAAGTGCCTTCATTTCAAAACTTTCCACCCCTAGTACTTCGTTCAGCATGTAGAATTTGCCATAGGCAAAAAACACGCAATTTATATATCCAGGGAGAAGTTTTAAACCAGTGCCAGTGGTATTTTAGGTTTAACCCCCTTACCACTAGCTACCCCCACTTAATAATTTCAAATGACACCCCCTATCTTGTAACATCATTTTGAAGATCTTAAAAATCCACACTCAACCCCGTTTAGAAAACTGAAATTGGTTGATCCGTTCTCGTAAATTAGGGCAAAAAGAAAATGAATTATAACAAAATGCAAAAATTTATGGAACCGCTACCACTGACTCAATAACGGTATGTTTATGTCTCTTTTTTACACAGAGTTTTTTGCTTTAGCTGAAAGTGAGATAAGGGCATACAGTTGGTTCTTGGCGTCAGTTACAATTAAATGGCGAAAACATTTATTAGAATTAGTTATTCCTGATTTTATATTGTTTGTCAAGTGGTGACAGTTGCACTGACAGTAATACAAATCGTAATGGTGTACACTTTACAAGAAAGAAATGAAATTATTTTTATTTATGGTGCTGAAGATAGGTGTGCTCGTAGGACAGCCCGGGTTTTTAATGAAAGGCATGCAGGCCAAAATGTGAGTCACCGATATGTTCTAGACCTTGTTCAAAAATTTGAAGAGGCCGGTTCTGTGTGCAACAAAGCAGTAAAGCAGCTGAGAGTTCTTACGGAAGCCACACAGATTGAAATTTTAGGCCAATTCGCCGTTGAGCCTATTACTTCAATTTCTACAAGGTCGCTAAGTTGATAAATATTTCAATTGATTCTATACACTAAGTTTTAAAACTAAACAAGTTCTTTCCTTACAAAATGACCCGAATTAAATAAAAAATTTTTGCTTCAGTGATGAATCAACTTTTTTTTCTTAATGGCTTCGTAAATAAGCATAACTGTAGATACTGGGATAATGGAAATCCACACTTGTTTCGAGAGGATCATACGCAATATCCACAAAAAATAAACGTCTGGGCTGGAATTCTGGGAAACGAAATAATTGGCCCTATTTTTATTGAAGAAAATTCAACTGGTCGATTGTATTTAAATTTATTGTAAAATGTAATCGATAACACAGTCCTTAGAACGCCAAGTTGATGAAGAAGACAACCCGGTCTTGGAAATTTACATTTTCAACAGGACGGCGCACCGCCACACTACACATTGCATGTCCGACAGTGTCCTGACAAATGGATTTGCAGAAGAGGCGCTCTGAAATGGCCGGCGAGATCTCCGGATTTAACGCCATTGGATTTCTATCTCTGGGGTTATTTGAAGACGATGGTATACAAAACTTCCCCGCAGGACATTCAGAATCTAAGACACAAGATTACTGACACATGCAGACAAATTAATAAAGAAACATTTACAAAAGTCCGACAGGAATTCGAGAATTAAACCTAAAATACCACTGGCACTGGTTTTAAACTAACCCCTCGATATCTAAATTGACGTGTGTTTTACCTACGGCAAATTCTCCTCGCTAAACAAATTACTAGGGGTGGGAAGTTTTGAAATGAAGGCACTGTATACATAATGTTGTTGGGAGATTGAACCAAATTGAACCAAAGCGCTGCCGAAACAGCCCGAAAAATTGACCAGGCATTTGACAATGATAGTGTTAATAAACGCACTGTTCGACGTTGGTTTGCTGAATTTCGTTCCGGAGATTTTATTTTATTTTTATTTTATTTTTCATACAGACTTAACAACCTAATCACATGGAAATTCTTATTGCAAATGAATTGTGTGAGCTTACTTCTATACACGTACACTGAAATATTTATTTTCAAACTTATTCTCTACGATCACAGTTATATTTCTAATAAATAATCAATAACATCATATCTGAAACCTGAGAAGGAATTACTGAATTCTAATATTGGTCTTACAAGTGTGATATTGATATAGAGATATTTTATCGGGAAACGAATAACAAATAAACAAATAACTAGATCTTATATTGAATTTCAACATTTTGTTAGCCTTTCTACAAATTTCATCAAAATGTTTCGAGAAAGACAAAGTGTTACCTATCATAAATAATCCCAAGATCTTTCACTTCGTTTTTTCTGTTTTCTAACTGATTTTGTAACAATTTTGTAACTAAATTCAATGGGGGTTTTTCCACAAAGAAAAAGTAACGATATTACATTCATCAATATTGAAGTATAATTTATTTTCAATGGTCCAATTATGTATTCCATCAATGTCTTTTTGAAGTGCAACACAATCTCTGACGGTTTAAATTTTTTAAAACATTTGAAATCATCTGCAAAAAGGAGCCTTTTAGAAATATGTAAACATGATGTTGGATCATTGATGAATAAAACGAACAGCACATGCCCCAAGTTTGATCCCTGTGGGACACCCAAGTTGATTTCATAGGGATCAAAGTAAATACCATTATATCTGACGACACTGTTACGATTTTGGAGATAGTTGATGATTAAACTATGGTTGATACCAAATTTTAGCTTTGAAGATAAGCCTCGAAGTGGTCGACCTCCAGTTATCCAGGATGAGGATTTTTAGTACCCTGGTGGAGACTGATCTATTACAAATGGTGCGTGGGATAACGGAAGAACTGAGCGTCAGCTCCAATGCGGTGTCTGATGGTTTGAAACTTATTGTAAAGAAAAAAAGTTTGAATAGTGGGTCCCCACGATGTGAACGATAGACAAAATTGTCATCTCTCTCTCTCTGGATCCTCTACGACAAAAGAGACATCCAGAACAATGGTTGGCCACCGATGAGCCACCTAGGCACCTCCCAAAGGTGAAAACTCACCAAAAAATATCATGGTTAGTCTATGGTGGTCAGCGGCTGATGTTATTCACTATAACTTTCTGCAACCGGGCCAAACCGTCAGAGCAGAATCCTATTGTAAGGAAATCGACGCAATTACGTCAGTAGCAACCGGTACTGGTCTACAGAAGAGGTCCGATCCTGCCCATCCGCATGTTTCACAAAACACCGTTCAAAAATTGATCGAATTGAGCCTCGAAATTCTGCGTCACCCACCATACTCCCCAGACCTATCGCCAACCTTTTGTCATCTTTTCAAGTACCTTAATAACTATCCGAACACAAAAGAAACTGTCGCCTCGGTCAAACCAACAATTCAGCCGAACATGCTCTCAAAAAAGAAGGTATCCACATTATCTCATTCGAAGACCCAGTAATACTCGACAGTACCCAAAATTACTACCCAAGAACGATATGAATTGAGCGCCCAGTACAGAAATAGCAGTTAGTGCGTTGGATACAACAGGAACAAGAACCAGAACACCAGCTCGGGTATTACGACCGTTACCACATCGCTTTTGAAAATGTCTACCGCAGCAGTAGACGAAACGTCAGACATGAAAACCTGCAGTAGAACCGGTAGAACTTTCGCCAGTAACAGGCAAAATCGGCGCTCGTCGACGTCATCGAATTCCTAGCACACAACATCTGTGCTGACGAAGTGAATCCGCGTTTCTTAGGTTGTCGAAACAACATTGATTCAAAGGATTTTCATTTCGAATAAATTGAACGAGTATTCTCCGAGATATTACCATTTGAAATGGACTTATCAGAAAACGATAAAATAATTGGAACAACCAAAATAGGAAGTATACTACAAATGTCAAAGCCAACCTGGACTTCTTTATTTGAAGGGGCAAATTATTAGAATTCTAAGTATGGCATTATGTCTTTTCATGGGACACGGGAGAGACTGGGCGGCTGTTCTACAGATTCTGCAGAACAGTCGGACATAGATCACTGAATTTGTCGCGCAAGGCCACCCAGCTGCTAACGGGACATGGTAATTTTCCGGGATACCTTGCCAAGTTTAACCTGGGCCCGGAACTACCAGAGTGGCAGAGGGAATGGGACACGGGGGAGACTGGGCGGCTGTTCTACAGATTCTGCAGAACAGTCAGGCATGGATCACTGAATCTGTCGCGCAAGGCCACCCAGCTGCTAACGGGACATGGTAATTTTCCGGGATACCTTGCCAAGTTTAACCTGGGCCCGGAACTACCACAGTGGCAGAGGGACTGGGACACGGGAGAGACTGGGCGGCTGTTCTACAGATTCTGCAGAACAGTCGGGCATGGATCACTGAATCTGTCGCGCAAGGCCACCCAGCTGCTTACGGGACATGGTAACTTTCCGGGATACCTTGCCAAGTTTAACCTGGGCCCGGAACTACCATGTTTCCGCGGCTACGGTGTGCCCGAAACTGGAGGGCAGACGGCGGTCTCCCCAATCATGGTGATCATGGATATTCTTGTGCTATCTAGCTATGTATATAATTATTAGAACTCATTTTTATTTTGTTAGAGTAATCAATTGCAAATTGTAATCATAATTGTAAATGTTATTTTGGGAAACAAAAAAAGGGTCTTCCGCCCCCGCTAGTTCGCCCTCTCGTGTGGTCGACGTGACGCGTCGGCGGCACGTTGAGGGGGGTGAATTCGAAAGAATAGGGGTTCCCTTGACAGTGGTGGCGATAGATAGAGGGAAGATGTTCCATTGAAAGGCCTCCGGCCAGGACAATAGCGAGCGATGGCAATATTCATGTCCATCCGTAGTGACAAAATTTGACTATTTATCTCCCCGTGAATGAAATGGAATTTCCATTATTTTTTTACAGAAACATGAAAGTAGACTGATTTATCGGCAATTTTCCTAAATATTTATTTTTAAGCCTTGCCAACGAAAAAAATTTGAGGACATTTTTGTTTCTCTCAATGAAATGTGTCGAAAGCCACGGAAGTTTGATTTCAGATGAAACGAGAATATTTTCAGGGAATATTCTTAGTTCGGACTTGGATATAAATATCCGAGATTGAAGCACCTCCGAAGAAGCTAGCTATCCGTGCTAGCGACGTCAGGATGAAAAATACCAGACGGAAGATATTGATGTAACCGTATGAATGTATATATTTACTGCTTCAATTCCATAATGAAGGTTTGGAGTATAAACTGATTAGGAAAAAGTGATTTTCGTGAAAATCAATGTTCATATTGAGTAGTTATTATGAAAGAACTTTTTTTGAAAGTTTCTTCCAACAGAAAGCCGAAAAGCTCTTTTTTCCAAGAAAACAAAATTTTCACTGAAAATTTCCCTTAGTCTTACTTGATATTTCCACGCATGTAAGTACATGACCAAATCTTGGGGTTTGGGGTCCCTGTATCTAACTTTACACTCGTAGCAGTGCCTGTCTACTGTCATTTTGTCCAGATTGAAACTGAGATCTGGTGTCTCATGTCCCGTTTGCGTCGCTACCGTCACTTTCACCTCCACGGATCTGGATGTACTCAGAGAAGTTCTGGAAGATTGCAAGGATATCGAAGACGCGTTTTCCGTTTGTTCTTCGCATGGTGATGCTTCTCTTGATCCTGAAGTGGTTTCTTCGTCCGCTAGGATTGGATCTGAAACAAAAATAACGTTTTTACGATTCATGATACAAAAAAATTCGGCCATGAATTTCGATGCGATAGTAACGAGAATCATCTGAAAAATTATACTGGGTGAAAGTTTCATTTGCATAACTTTGAAATTATGTTAATTCATTATTGTTTACTCAACCATAGATGAGTCAAAAAAAATAATAACCCCTTTCTATGTAAATGACGAGTCTAGCCTAAAGGTTGAATGAGGCATTAATGGGAATAATTACGTTAGTTTAGGTTATTTCGATGCTAATGATCATATGAAAAATAGTGGGTAAACAATATACAGTGCGTTACATTAAAAACGAGCCAGCCTGAATAACTTTTGGTACAATGATTTTCAGGAAAAATAAAAAAACACGGCAACAATGGTATACAAGGGGAAACATTTTGACATATTTACACTTGATGTTGTTACTTTCCCTATCGCACTCCCAGAGCATGTCACCAATTTTTTTTAATGGATCATTCTATATTGTTTCTCATTATCAGATGCTCCATAATGAACAGATTTCAACAAAGTATAAAACATATGATCTGAAGCTCATGGTTCGTGATTTGAGTTGAAAATGAGCCACTCTGAATAACTTTGCAGGAAAAAAAAACAGGTCAACAATGGGGAATGTTCCTCCTGACGAAAATCAAGTAGTTTTTATAAAAGAGCTCTAAAACAATGCATTTTAAACTTATCATTTCAACCTTTTTCTTGAAATAATTATTTAAATACTTGAAAAAGAGGAATGAAATAATGCATTCATCATTTAAAAGGGTTCGTTTCTATTTCACCACTTGGCTGATAAAGGACAATGAATTTGTCACCAGTATGAGACAAACAAAGATGACATATTTCAGAGGCGTGCTGTTCTGTTTACTTATGTTCCGATTTCCGAGACATTCTGTGACATATGACATTTTGTGCATCTAACCCATCTTCCTCTATATGAGTAAATAACAAAACAACTGTTGTTTATGTGGCTTGTGGAGGTGGTATTGAACTATAATTTATATTTTGCCTTAATTGTTGATCTATAAAGATAATTTTCCTTTTTAAAAGTAGAATATCTAGGTACATATGAATTATTTCAACTTGATATAGGCGCTGTTGCCAATATGTGAATCAGAAACAAATCCTTTAAAAAATTAAAACCCAACATTTGAAACATCAATTTGAATACTTTTCGAAGTGAATTTGAAAAACTCATGAATTAAACTCAACTTAATTTTGTTCAAACTTGCATTTGCTGTAATAACCCAAACTGAGGAACATTCCCCATTATACAGGAGGCCACATTTTGGAATATTCGTTCTAGAGATAAATATGGAAGCAATAAAAAAAGTTTTTTTATTAATTGAATGAGAAGAACAAAATGTCCAAAAACGTTTCCAGCAACTTCCATACAATGGTACAAACGAACTTCCCGCCCTCACATGGTTGAGAATCTTGGGAGTTATATGTATAAGTATAGTAGGGAGGGTGATTGTAAGCCCACAGCACTTACGTCACATGTGACCCATTGTATATCTTCCCGAAGAGTTGTCCTCCTAGGTCATCGTCCATCCTGTCCTTTCCAGGAAGGTAGACAGATCACGGGGAGACATTTCCTTTACATCGGCAGGTGTAGGCCAAGACTCGCCGAACACACACTCTCTTTGGCAACCATGAGGTAATTCACGGCGGCCTCCGCGAAAGTTTTGGAAGGTGCAGTGACATTATTTTCATTACGCGGCTTCTTCAACCTTCCTGTGGTTCACCTAGTGGAGGCGTTCAAGTGAGGGCGCTTTCCTGCAGGGGCAGCCGGTTCCTTGCCTTGCCTTGGCGCCCGCCGCAGGAAGCGCCCTTGCTATTGGAGGTGGAGTGGGGGAGGAGGAGGTGGATGCAGTTATAGTTGCTGCCACTCCTGCCTCTTTCCCTTTCTTTCTCCCTTTGGCCTCGGCGCCGCAAATGCGCCGCCTTTGTATTACATCACGAGGTGATCTGCTATGTCCAGCCTCATTCCAAGCGGTAGATTGGGGTGGACATTTCTGTTCATCGCCAGCCACCGCCAAAGATTGAGGTGAGCAGTTCTGTCCAGCCTCGGGATTAGTTTTTGGTGTGTCGGTTTTTGTGTTTGGTTCATATATGTGTGTTCCCACGAGTAGCAAGGAAAGAGTTGGTCACCTCTGGCAGAGCCCCGCATTACCAGAGGAAGGCTGATTATAATGAGGTTTCGCCCGGTTCCCCAAGGATCGTTCGTAAACGCATATCACTCTGCGGCCATTCAGCTGTCGGCACGATTCCTTACACCTCAGCTCGGGAGTTATTTCTCTGCAATGCCTCATGATATTCTCTGTTAACTCTTCTGATGTTGTTGATTCTATCTCACACACTTTAGACTTCAAATGACCTCATAGAAAGAAATATACATAAGTGAGTTCCGGAGACCTTGGTGGCCATTCTGAAGGAACTTTTCTGCCAATCCAGCGACCAGGAAAAGGATCATCCAAAAATTGTCGCACTGGAGCTGAATAATGAGGAGGTGCACTATCCTGCTGAAAAACTGGTTCGTTTTTGAATATTTATATTCTCCTCAATCGCTCTATTGATGCACGGTGCTCTTCGATTCTCCAACATATCGAAATATTTATCACTAGTCAAATTACCATCTATAAAAAAGGTCTTATGGTGTGGTCACCTGAAATTCCCGCCCAAACATTTAGAACTTAACCTCATTCACAAATCAATAAAAATATTCTCGGATAGTCAAGCGGCGTTGGAAGTTCTTGGCTTCTACCGAGCAACGTCTGAAATGGTAGCAAATTGCCAAAAACGACTCTTCTCGATAGAAAGACTGAACAGATTATCTCTGGTCTGGATTCCTAGCCATACTGGCCTGGAAGGTAATGAAGCTGCTGACTCCCTTGCAAAGGAAAGTGCTTGCAAGCAGCTTCATCGGACCAGAACCTGTCATTGGCATAGCTTCAGGCTTTGCCAAACAAAGATTGGAACACCTGGATGGCAAGAAGATTTATGGACTTATGGCAGAATCTTCCAGGATTAGCTCAATCCAAGGCGTTTATTCACCCTTTGAAGCTTGATATCAAACAGTTGTGGGACTACAGCAGAAGATGAACTACGATATCTAACAGGCCTTCTAAAAGGTCACTGTCATTTGAATCATCATATGCAGAGACTTGGACTGTCGGAAGACAGTGTGTGTCGCCTCTGTTTGCAAGATGATGAAACAGCAGAGTACATACTTTGTGCCTGCCCCGCTGGGGACCGAATCAGGTTCGGCAGAGCCGAACATCTGACATCTCACATCTTAACATCTGACCTGACCACTCACCATCGGCTTCGTTAAGAAGCTGGGTTTAGTTGGTCGAGTGTGAATAGGTGTGAGCCACAATAAACCCTTGCGGGTTTGGACCTAACCTAACCTATCCTAACCTAATAATGTAGGAAGAGTTATGAGGACCGATGGAATATTACTTTGTCGCCTTTGATAATGTTGATTGCAGTTGTATACGAAACGTCAGGCATGAATACCTGCAGAATACGGTCGACAAACCTGGTGAATAACCGGCACTATTGAATTTGTTACCTGGTGTGTGGAAGCCAGCATTGTCGTATTGTAGAATAATGCAAAGATTCAGGGTGTGTTTCCAAAATTCATCCAACACTTTTGGCAATCAAATTATTGTATATGATTCAGCATTGTTTATTTTTCGATCTATTGAAGGGAGTGTGGGGATATTTTCAGTGAAGCCGAAAATAGTATATTGTACAACAAGTGAGAAATATGTCATTTGTACTTTGTACTTCATATGTACTTTTTCTATGATTGCGTTGTTTTCAAGTATTGAAAATCAAAATACATATATAATAAAACTTGTATGTCATTAACTCATTTTTATATTGTATTTAAAATAGTAATTAACAGTTATATTTGAACAATTTTGTAAAGTACTTCCTGGTAGGTCGTATTGTTTCAACATGTTTTCGGTAATTGAAATATTAGTTGAAGTTGATGGAGAAACGTGAGCTTCCACAGCATTGTTGTGTTCAGGTTCTAATAGCGCTGGAGACTGAATGGATTCTACTATACTTTTTGAAATTTTCATTTTGTTAGATATGGAGTTGTAGCTATAAGATTCAGCAACATTGCTGGATTTCCAACCCAATGGCGTTTTAAAGTTGAAAAATCTGCCCCTGCATTAACTAAAATAGTCGCAGATGACCTTCGGAAACAGTGGCCAGGAGATAATTCAGGTTTCTGTATTTGCAAAAATTTCGCTATTTCTTTCGCCATGGTGTCAAATTTATTTATTTTCACAGGCTGTTCCGTACATTTGCTACTTTTGTAATTAAAAAAAAACGTGTTTCATTTGTGCATGGTCGAAGCTTCACATATTTTTTGTAAATTTGGTAGAATTCTCCTGTGACTGTGAAATTTCTAGGAATCTTAGCTTAAGAATCGGGTAATTTTATTAAAAGGGCCGAATTAAGATCTTCCATGTCATCAATTTTTAATTTTCGAAGTTCATCACAACGACATGCCCCTGTAAGGCCAATAGCTAAAGCAGCCTGAAATCAAAACCAAACATTAATTTTTCGATAACAATTTAAAAAATTTCAATTCATACCTTTATTAGCAAATACTTTTCTTCAGGTGCACCTTTTAAAAATTGTTGATTTTCTTCAGAAGTTAATGTTTTTGACTGTTTTGGAGCATATTTTTCAGATTTGTGTTTTGAAAAGGCACGTAGTTTTACGTATTTTGATATAACACAGTTTTTAATAATCAAGGTACTCCTCAGCATCGAGTACTGAGACCATAATGTTGATGATTTCAATCTTCTTGACAACTCTTCAAAATAAACTAACATANGTAATTTTCAGGGAACATTTCAAAATTGTACATTTATTATTTGTAATGACGTGAATAAATAAAATATGGTTCAGTTTTCATTTCTATTTATTTCTACTTGTGAAAGGTAGAGGGAATTATAAAATCTATAATGTCCTAAGGGAGTTATGACCCTCTTTATTGATAGCGTAACTATGACGATATAAGCTTATAATATCCCGGTCAGAAATAAAACAATTTTCAGACATTACTCCGAACGGATTGAATCCCGACGGCTGATTTTCAAAATCCACGTTTTTGAAGATGTTGACTAGTGTATTCAATTCAAATTAGACTATGTTAATGCAATCAATATATGCATATTTGGTATTCCCTCACATAAGTATACACGAATGAATATCATCTAAACTGTTAAGACTGCCGTGACGATGGAGGTTTATGGAAAAAGACATTCTCTTCAGCGAAGAGAAGTTTCGCACGCTCTGAACAAATATTTCCATTTATTGAGTTGGAAATGTGGAGAAAAAATTCTAGAAATCTCGCCTGGGGATGGAACTCTCACGATGGACTTGTTGATACCTTTGTTGCCGAAGAACTTCAAGCACTATATTGGAATCAATTACATCGAAGGAGTTACAGCCGTAGCGCAAGCCAATTTTCCCAATGACAAATATCCCAAGATAACTTTTGTGAACTGCGATATTCAGGAGGAATTTCCCGGTTATAGTAACGAGTTTGATCATGTTTTCGCTTTACTATGTCTGCATTGGATGTGGAATGTCAGGTATTGTATTGTTCACTTCGACGGAATAAATTCACGGTATTCTTGAGACATTATTTTAGGACAGCAATCCAGAATATATTCGAGATGATGAAACCAGGTGGTGAAATACTTGCCTCTTTCGCAGAAGTTAGTCCAGTTAGCGATATCTTTCATAACTTATCAAGAAATCCAAAATGGGCTCCATATGGTCATGAAAAACATATATCAACTTTTTTTTATAGTGAAAATCCTTTGAAGGATTGGATACAAACATTTACCGAGGCTGGATTCGTGGATATCAAAACAAGTTGCGAAGAACGAACTATTGAATTCCCCACCGAGAAAAATTTCGAAGGTAAGGATGCTAACAATTCTATTGTCGGTCAATTTCCATTGGAAAAATTATTGCTAGACATTTTATCCCAATAATGACCTACCAATTCCTTCAAAAAAAAAACTGGTATGGACTGTTGCGAATTGAGTTGAGTAGTCTACAGAGAATTTGAGACAATAATGAAAACACACTCATTACGGCAACACACTTGTAAGCTAATACCTAGGTTCTATTTTAACAACATTGATAATCATTACTATTTGGTCATTCCAATAGTTCACATACACAAGTTTCCTAGAAATAACCCACATATTCAAAGTTTCACTCAGTATGAGTTATAGAAGGAACATAAAAGGTCTAGACATCATTTTTACTGAATTGCACTTAAACAAAAGTTGGTTCACTGATGGATCAAAAACACCTTTTTGTTCTGGTGCAGGTGTTTTCAGTCGCAGACCCAGGACAGAGATTGAAAGAATCCAACCTCATACACAAGTCAATAAAAATATTTTCGGACAGTCAAGCGGCGTTGGAAGCGACTTCCCTCGAAGACTTAACTGATTGTCTCTGGTCTGGAGACAATCCTCCTTTGCGGGGGAGTCTGCTGACTCCCCCGCAGAGGGGAGCAGAGCACATACTTTGTGCTCTGCTGTAATGGCGGAAGATCTACCAAATCTTGAAATGTTCCTCCAGAGTACTGTTGATACACGTATTCACTCTGTGTGACATTTCTTGAATTACAATTCTATGCTCCATGAACACTTTATTACAATTCACACTTTACATTGACATGACAACTGACAGTTGACTTGGACATGTCCTCCATGAAACTAACCAAACTGTTTTAAAAAAATGTCATGACAATTTATCTACGTTTATATTACTCATCCAGTGCTTTTCATGTGTTCAAATCTTTTATACACCTTATTGCATCAGAAGCCCATCCAACCTAATCGCTGTTTCTTATATATTTCAGAAGTCTTTCTTGCAATAGACCCAATTTTTAGAAAGATACCCGCCGAGAAGAAAGAAGAATACTTGAAGGATTATTTTGAAGAAATAAGAAGGGGCAAGATGAACTACGTAGAATACAGCAACGAACTTGGGAAATCTGTTCACAAAACAACCTTCAACTGTGTTTTTCTGATCGCGAAGAAGCCTTCCTAATTGTTCGAACAGTATCTTTAGAAAAGTGTCCAATAACCGACAATACAACACATTTCTTCGGATCGATTTTCATTTGGAACTGTCCGTATTTATATGAAATAGTTACCGATTTCTCTATGTTGGATCAACACAAGTTTTTGGTACCTTCAGGAAAATACTGAAGAATAGCGTTACAGTAAACTGTTTTGAGGAAAGCTCCAGTCAATTTATCATCATTCGCAACAAACTTATTGCGTAATATAATCAAATAAACTCTTATTTTCAATTCTTTGTGATTTTTCATCCTTTCATCTAGTCTGTTACTAGCAGTTCCTTTCACTGAACAAATCATCCAAATGGTGAGATGGATTATGTTGTGGATAATCAGAAAAGTACTCTAACTGAGCACATTTATGAAGTCAACGTAGAAAAACATTTTCTTGTCGTATTTTGGTTTATTTGCTTACTCAAATGTTTAAAAGCCAGTATGTCGACATCAACCACTCCCCTGACCTGCCCCAAACCTAAAAAAACTATAAACTCGACAGTGTTACCAACATATATTACCAACAACCATAGAGTATGTTAAGTTTATTAGAATATGATATAACATTTCTCAGTTTTGGTATTGCACTGATACCTTCCAATATATTGCTTTACTGACAACAGCACACTAGTTTCATCATTCCATCTGGATTCTTGGACATCGGCTGTGGATGCACATCTTCACCGTCAGCAGGAGGTTGCATATCTTAATGAGGATCTAGAAGTTATTGAATTGGTGTGAAAGTAACCAGGTTCAATTCAATGCCACAAAAACCCTGGCATCGGTTTTCTCCAAAAAGATAAATGTCTCCGAACCGGATATAATAATGTAAGGACAGACAGTTCCGCTTTCTGCTTCAATGAGTTTGTTCGTGGTCAAAATGGACACGAATATGTCTTGGCACAATCATGCCGCTGGAATTGCAATGGCTGCTTCTCAAAAGTTTGGAACTCTGTTCCGAACCAGAAAACTGTAAACACCTCAGCAACTTTTGATGCTTTATAAAGCTTAAATCTGACCTCATTTGAAATATTGTTTTCATGTATGGAGATCCACCTCTGAACATACCCTGAAGCTGCTGGATTTCATCCAGAAAAGAGCTATACGCCTGATTGGAGATGCGACTTTGCAACCTTGATAGTCTGGAACATCGAAGGGAAGTGTTCAAGTGACTTGGCACATTTGATTCCACTAAGAGCGATACATATAAAAAATACGCTACGGACTCTGGTTGCTCATTGTTTTGAGGTTTAACTCAGTACACTTCGAACTCCACTGTTCAAGAACTCTGTCATTTGAAAAACTGCGTTTATATGGAATAAACTTACCGAGAACGTTTTTGTAAATGTATATAATCTCCAGCGATTCAAATCCAATGTGAATCGCTGTGTTCTGTCCTTAAAAAATTGAGTGGTGTACTAGCTGTACCTTTTGGCCAAGAGGTGACCAAGAGGCAAAGAGAGATAGAGTTGGAAAACTCTTGAGATTCGTTTTTCCTTGGTTCAACAAATGTACATAAACAATTCGAATTGAATTATTGATGTTCAATGAAAAGGAACACAAAGTAGAATCAACTTCATTACAATTCTCATACAAACTCATACAAGCTAGCTGATAATTTATGGAAGTGAATGCGAAATGAATAGGTGTGAATTGTTCAGTGAAAATGTTACTTGAAAGACGAACATGACATTGAAAAAACATAAATAATATCAATGAATATATTTTTCTCACCTTTAGGCACTATAGGTCCGACCAAAGAGTCATCTAAATCTGACTTTCTAGAATTGAACATAGACAGTTCACTGTCTCCATCCATTCCCAGCCAGTTCTCAGCGTTGTGGATGTGAATCAGATCTCTGACTAGTTCTTCGTCTGTTTTACCTCCGAGGTCTCCACCCTTTCCTTTCAAAGGACCAAATACCTCGTGGTTGTAAAGAGGATCGTTGACCACCGGATGACCTATAAAAAATAGCTCAGTATCATACAATTATTATCAGGTATACAATGTTCTCCTGAAATCAGACAGAAACAGGGAAACAGTCAGGGAAACAGTCAACATGTCAAAATCATTATCAAATCTAAGGTTTCTTGGATGTATTTAATGTCTGGAAAAAAGTTTTTTTAACCAAATGAATCGTTGTTTTTTTTGCATCAGTTTGTCAATGAAACAAGCGAAATGCAAGTCTTTTCTGTTTTGCATTTTTAACCAATTCAATTGATTGATTGAAGGGGTCACATAATCTCTGAAATTGAGCCTGGATATTAGTCTAATGCAGGCGTTTTGTACTTTCTGGATTCTTGCAGATGCTGAGGAATCGAGAAAAGGGTCATGGACGACATCGCAATAATTAAACATATATAGAGTAAGTACGCCTGAAAGGGTAATTTTGAGTGACCTACTGAAATAGTGTATGTTTGAATACAGATGTTTCAGTATACCGTAAGAACTTTGAATAGGGGTATTGACTTGATGAACAAATCTTAGGTTATAGTCTATATGAAGTCCTGAGCATTTTATCTTGTCAGTCAATTCAACAGAATATTCATCAATATGAAAATGAGTATTATCTATGACCCTTCCACAATCTTTGGATTCCCCAAAAATTATTGAAGATCATTTACTAGTATTGTAGTTCAGGCAGTGGTGCTTGAAAATCTGAACAAGACTTTTTATACCATTATTGCGCGATGTTTCGTGATCATTATCGGAGCAGTGCAAGTTAGTGTCTTCTGCATATGTATGAATGTTGAAGAACTTAAGAACATTAGAGAAGTCAGATATGTAAATAATTAAGAGCAGCGGGGCGAGAATTGAACCTGGCGGGGCTCCATGACGTACATTCATATTATCAGACTATTATACCATCAGTATATTTAAACTTGCATTATTTCTTTATCAAGTTTTTACCTTTTTTGACATCGTTCAGCTTCAAAAAACAGACTCAAAATACACATTCGATACTGAAGCAACCTTGATTTACTCTTTCAATTTTTGATTTCTCTGAATCCTTATGTATTAATAACCTGTTCTGTAACTATTTTATCCCTCCGTGATTCATCAACATTATTATTTATAGATGTAATTCTTTGGATCACAACTCACCCAAATATTGCAAATGCACCCTTATCTGATGCATCCTTCCTGTTTTGGGTTTACACAAAATTATACTAGTTTTTCCATTGTAGCCTAGTTTTTGGAAGAGGGTTGTACAATCCTTGCCCTTTGGAGAAACCTTGCAGACCCCAATTTTGTAACTAACCACCTCTATAGGTTGATTACATTCAATTACTTCACTGAAAAACAAAAACGAAATGAATATGGGGTTTTACTTGAAGTAAATGTTCACATATAGTAAGGGGGCATAGGTGAAGGTTTGCTGTAAATTATTTAAAAAACAATTCGTTTAGGCCAGATGGAGTAATGACGAATACGTTGTGTGTCGTTCGATTCAGCCTTGTTCGAGGAATGATACTCCGAAATTATTTCGATTTTCAAGTATGGAAAATCGTCGACTTCATGTTGCACTGACGGGATGCCAAATAGGTGATGGATGTCAGTCCATAAACCTACAGTGTAGGAAAGTTGAGACTGACCTGAACGAATTGTTCCTTCAGAAAATTTGAAGTAAATGTTCATTCACATTATAGAACTATGCAAAAATAAAAAATGTATGATAGTTGAACTGATTATCAATCATGGTTGCTTTGTAAGTAGAGTTTTCTTATACTCATTAGCTAAACAGAATGCTATTGTAAAACTGTACACTATCGTTTTTGGTTCCAAATGAATGGGTAAAAACCTCTTCAATTTGTACTCACTCGGGAAATTCCCCTTCAACTCTACAAACATACTCCTTCAAAACAAGCCTATTCCTGATTTGGTGTTCCATTTGCCTAGCCTTTTTGGGAGTTCTTCCAAAAAGCAAAAGGCCACTGGTTAGTCGGTCCAGCCTGTGAATTGTGCGGAGGTTCTTCAGGTTGTACTCCTTTGCGAGGATGAAGACGACCGTGTTGTGCCTGTACCTTCCACAAGGATGAACCTATAACAGTTGGGGTTGAATATTGACTATTGGTGAAAGTGGAATTCATTTTGATTCCGATAAGCACTGATACCATTTGTTGAAATTGAGCATTTGCCTATTTATGCCTCACTGCTGCCGCAAAATACAATAACATGCATATACAGTGGAACATTCCAGATTAATAAACAGTGCAAAGGAGGGAAAATGGAAAAGGGAGGGGAACTCAGCGGAAGAAATATAAAGAGAAACTATAAAGAGAGAGCCAGAGAAGGATGAAATGGAAAGTCTACAGTGTAGTATATGTGAAAAGAGAATTAAAACTTTCTATGTTTTTTACCACTTTTATTTGTAACTAACGTTATTGCAGTTTCGTCCTATAAAAACATATTCAAACTAACACATTGAACTAAAAATGATTGATTACATTAGCCCTTATATAACACCACTGTAGGTATATTACAGGTACTTAGTTCAATTGAGTACCTGAATTTTGTTTACTTGTGACAATGTGGATACCCTGATTTGAAAACAGGTTGTATCCGCAATGTTTATGCTTATGAATTCCAAATAATTGAGTTTGCAACCCTTCCTTGCATAGTGAAGAAATGCGTTTATGTGGAATCCTTGAAAAAACTTGTGATAATGGAAAAGAAAGAAAATTCTGAAGGTGATTATTGGTCAACAGAAACAACAACAATCGACCTCTAAAAGTGACGTGATCTGTTTGGGTTCTATCTAACAACTTCAAAAACATCATATATTTCCCATCCCCCGAATAGAATAAATATTGTATTGTATGGAATTATCGTTCAACATGAGTTTCAGGTATGTGCTGTGTATCCATGCAATTCGGTTTCAAGTTGTAAATTCAAATTTAGACGTGAGAGTGCAAATACAATTTATATTCGTAACAATGAAAAGCTATCGGTTTGGAAATCGCATTTCAACCTTTAGCGAGAAAACATTCCAATATCCTATTTCGAATGATATACCTATTATACAGGATTAGTTCGAATGAGAAAGTATGTTCATCAATAGAAAATCACTTGTTCTTTATAGGAATTGCTAATTTGATCTGCCAAGAAAATTATGCTATTCAATAGGCTTACAGAAGTTTCTGGAAGTACGGACTTTTACTCCCTCGAGAGCGAAATAATGAATTGTCCCTGAGGAAGGGGTGAATAAAATAATACATTCGAAATGATTCTGAATTATGCTACTTTAAAACTTTTCAAAACTTGCTCAATGTTAATATATTCTTGTAGTAGATGAAAAAAAAAAATTATATTAGACAATGAAAGTCCAAATACACCACGAAACATTGTTAAACACCTTCAAACAAATCGGGTAAACGTGTTGGCCAACCTACCGACTCTATTATAACAATAAATTCAATTCAATTCAATTCAAATTGATCATCAACCACAAAAGTGATATAAGAATGATGGTGTTTATGGAACCGTATGGTTCCATAACACCATCTCTAAGAGAAAGTACGTAGTATCTTATTGGAAATGAGGTAATTTTCCGGTAGAGAAAAATTCTCATTCATGTTCCATGATTCAGGTTTAGATATAAAAGGTGTATTCATTATTGACTCAAACGTTTTTTGAAAATTGAGACCTCAACAATAATGTGGCCTTCATTATCGTCGATTGCACAATAGCCTCTTAAGGCATACAATATTTGAAGATTTGCACCTTAAAATTTACAAAACCGCGACAAATGTCCCACTAGACAGAAGTTTTTTCAGGCGTATTCAGTGCAAACTATGTCAATTTCTACATTGCGCTTCTTATGAATTATAGAAATTTGAAAATAATGAGTTTTACTATCCACCTAATAAAGTTTAACGATGTTTGGCAACATACTAATTGAATTGAAGATATAATGGACACAAAATTTAACATAAGTTGCAAACTTTTAAAAACACAGAGTATTGAACTTTTTTCTCCCAAATGTAAACGGGGTAATCATGGTTGACCTCATCCACTCTTCCAAAAGATAGTTCGCAAATGTTGACTTGCTATTCTGATTCAATAAACAACGTCTATGTTCTTTCAATCTTTTGGAGAATTTTTTTCCGTTTTGCCAACATACTGTTTAGTAGAAGAACCTCCAAGTCAAACTATATACTTCCGAACTATTCGACACTGTTTTTTTTAGTTCTTGATAGATTTGTTCGAATTATTATTTACTCTGTACACTGTGAACCGTTTTATACACAAATATTCACAAAAATCTTAACCGTCCTTAACAATAGTTGGTTTCCTGATGAAGAATGAAGTTGGTCTTGATTGTTTTGCAAAAATTATCGAGTTGAAAATCCGTTGGTCCTCATTCAGAATTGAGATGGATTTTTTGCGAGGATCATTTAAATTGTGATTTTGGGCTCACCATTTCACAAACAAGCAATGAATAATGGATACATACAAACAATGAATAAAAACAATGCATTCTATGAAGTAAAAAAATATGCCTGTATGTGAAAAATGAAGATAGTTTGAATTAATAAAGCCGATATCATTGTTTATAGGTGACACCATGTGTTCGAGATTCACAATACCTAATGCTAAAGGTTCTTTTGAATCGCTGGAGATTAAATTCATTTGAAAATACGTTCTTAGGAAGTTAATTCCACATAAATGCAGTTCTCCAGATGAAGTAGCTCGCAAACAGTGGAGTTCTAGGTGTACTGAGTTGAACCTCAAAACGATGAGCAGCCACAGTCCCACGCGTATTTCTGATATGTACCGCTCTTGGTGGAATCAAATGTGCCAAGTCACTTGAACACCTTCCGTGAAAGTATCTGTAGAAGAGACAAATCTCCAACCTTTCTTCGATATTCCAGGATATCAAGGTTGCACGTGATGTTATCGTCCCCAATCAGACAGATGGCTCTTTTCTGGATGGAATCCAGCAACTTCGGGTTATGTTTGGGGGCAGAGCTCATACATCAGAACAATACTCCAAAGAAAGTCAGATCTCAGCTTTATAAAGCATCAAAAGTTGCTAAAGTGTGTACAGTTTTCTGGTTCGGAACCGTGTTCCAAGCTTTTGAGAGGCAGCCTTTGCAATTCCAACGAAATGAATGAGCCAAGATACATTGGTGTCCATTTTAACCCTCAACAAACTTATCGAAGCGAAAAGCGTCATTGTCTGACCTGTTCAATATCGCTAATAGTCGTTATTCTCTTAAATGTACATAGTTAACATGGTAGCCTTTTTAAGAGACGCTTCCGTTGTAGATGTCTATTTAGCATTATCATTCAATAATATTTTATGTTTCATAACTGTCGTTTCATGGGAAATAAATGGCAAATATAATGTTTTGCTGAAGGTTATCGTCACCAGTTTATAGCGAAACCATGCCTTAATGTGACAAAACGATTCTGTTTGTCGTTAAAGCTTTTGGAATTTTCGGATATGAATTCTGTTTCTGGCGTAGAAATGGATATAAAGATTGTTGAATGAAATTATCCGTATGGAGGTGATTATAATCGGGAGGAATGGGATATAGAAAGGTTAAAGTATCAGATTTGAAAGTTTTTAAAACATATTCTCCCTCATTACACTTGAGCAGATTCTTCATCGATTCAGCTTTGTTTATTTTTCAGATTGTGAAAGGTGAAATGCAAAAACAGCAATGAACAACTCATTCACAAAAAAAGAATATGTGTAACACTATTCCTATCCCTATCCTATCCCTTTCAGGACCATATTGATTAACGTGGAAGGTCTTGGATTTTCCAAAAAGAAACTTGCGTGTTTCGTTCTGATTTGATGGAAATCACTTAGATCGTTGTAATAACACGAAACCAAATTAATGTATTATATGTTTTAGATGGTGATGTTAGTTAATAGTCAGGCTCACGAAAGAAACAGGTGAAAAAACTTTGAAATTGATACAACAAATAACCCACACGAATGGGTTAACTTATAGATTATTCAAAACAAATTCACATTGGCTACATTTTATATCGGAATTCTTGGAATGCATTTTGTCATTCAAATATTGTATCGCACCCTGGCAAAACTTCTTGAAAGACCCTATCTGAAAAAAACATGTAAATTATACAGTGATAATGAAGTTGTCTTAACATCCTTTTTTATTTTGGAAAAATCACTATCAACTTCAAGTTTTAGTTAGCTAAAATGTTCAGATAGGTAGTCTGTTTTCTGAATTGTGGTGGGGTGTGCTAAAATCAGTTTACAACTTTTTTGTGGTAAGGTTAGACCCACTCAAAAGTAAGTGGGTCTATTCCGCAATCCGCAAGGGTTTATTGTGGCTCACACCTATTCACACTCGACCAAATAAACCCAGATTTTTAACGAAGCCGATTAGTAGCAGGAATTTGTTTAAGATTTGATTTTCAAAACAACACAAAAAACTTGAAAAAATAATGAAATCTTTATTGGAATCGATAGAAAGATCAATATAATTTGATGTTCGAAGATGATTTCATGCAAATGTTGTCCGCGGCTCCGCTTTAGATGGCCCATGCGCAAGACCTAATTTTGGCACACTCTCTCTAACATATCGACCGGTATTTCACGTATAAATGCTTCAATATTGGCTTCCAGAGCGTCAGTCGTTACTGGTTTATTCCTGTAGACATGAGCCTTAACTTGACTTCACAAGAAATAATCCAAAGGCGTTAAATCACACGATCTAGGCGGCCAATTGACTGGCCCCAAACGTGAGATAAACTGTTCACCGAAGGCGGCTCTTAATTGGGCCATTGTTTTGCGTGCTGTTTGGCATGTGGCAGCGTTTTGTTGAAACTACATGTCAGGCATGTCTAATTCTTCCAATTTGGGCAACAAAAAGTCGTCATTCATCACACGGTAGTGCTCGCCATTTACAGTAACGTTTTGGCCATTGTCGTCTTGAAAGAAGTACGGCCCGATGATACACCAAACAGTGACTTTTTCGGGATGCATCGGTAGCTCTTGCAATGCTTTGTGGCTGGTCTTCTCTCTAGATGCGCCAATTTTGCTTGTTAAAGACACGATTC